CCCCCCCCCCGCCTGCCCCTTTCAACCAGGCTCCATCCGCACCCTGTGGGCGCTCCTTGGCCATTCCTAGCCTGCGCTCATCTCAGGCTCGGCTGCCTCCCACGTGACACCTCTCCCTGAGTCCTGACGCACTTCCGGAGTGCGTCATCCCCATCCCTACAGCCTTCATCCGGGCCCTACCCCAACCCGGAGCTCTCCGCAGTCAGCCTGAGCCTTCTCAACCCCAGCTCACCACGCACTGCCCCTCCTCCATCCCGGCCTGGGGCAGAACACCGCTAAACCCTCGCACTCAAGCCAGGCCCCATCCTTGGTTCTGTGTCGAGCCCAATCCCAGACCCATCTCAACTCCACCTGTATTTCCGCCACACCCAAGCCTCACTTAACCCCCAAATCTAAGGCCAACCCTGTTCTATCTCCAGTCTGAGCTACATCCCAGCACCTTCTTTCCTCCCTCTCTTTCTTTCACGACAGGGTCTCACTAAGTCCCTACATTGCCCAAAATGGACTCAAATTTGCGATCCTCCTGCCTCAGCCTCCCCAAGTGTTGGGATTGCAAACTGCTCCATCATGCCAGGTTTGGGCCCTGTCCCTGGGTATAGGCCTCACTGCTCTTGCAGTGATTTCGTGTTTATTCTCTAGGCTCCACCTCTGTAGCCTGGGCTCTGCCCATACCCTCCCCACCCCAGGTCACCTTCCAGCCTCTGGAGTCTGTGCCCGGCCCTGAGCCCCTGCCCGCCCATCTCTGCCCCCAGCGCCTGTCCTTGCAGATGACGCCTCCTGTAACAACCCATCCGCCACCGAGTCCTCCTCCGGCGGCAACCGGGACCTCGGAGGCGAGGCCGAGGCCGAGGCCGAGGCCGGGGAGGACACCAGGTCCAAAGACAAGGACAGCGGCAACCGCATCGTGAACGGGTCCGACTGCAAGAGGGACACGCAGCCCTGGCAGGGCGCCCTGCTGCTGGGGCCCAGCAAGCTGTACTGCGGGGCGGTGCTGGTGCACCCCCAGTGGCTGCTGACGGCCGCGCACTGTCGGAAGCCGTGAGTGGGGCGGGAGCAGGGATAGATGCAGGGGTGGGTGTAGGAGGGGGTGAGCTACGAAGGGTCGGGGCTTGGGAGTGCAGATGTGGCGGGGTGAGGGCTGGGGCGGACCTGCGTTGGGGGCCGAGAGGCCGGACTTGGGGTCCAGGGAGTGTGCGCTGACGGTTGGGGTGGAGATGGAGTTGGGGTTGGCTCTAGAATTGGGGGTGGGAATAAAGCTGGAGTCAGACGGGTCCGGGATGAGAAGAGCGGCGGAACTCAGGCTGGAGCTGGATTTGAGTTGGCTGCGGTTGATTAGGGGCTGTGGGTGTTAGGTTTGGGTTGAGCACCTCCTGGGGATGACTGGGAGGGGTTTCGGGGCTCGCGGTGACCCGACCGTCGTCTTCAGGGTGTACAGGGTCCGTCTCGGCCACCACTCTATGTCCCCGGTCTACGAGTCTGGGCAGCAGATGTTCCGGGGCGTCAAATCCATCCCCCACCCCCGCTACAAGCACCCCCGCCACTCCAATGACCTCATGCTCATCAAACTGAACAAAAAAATCCGAGTCAGCCGCTCCGTGAGGCCCATCAACATCCCCTCCCGCTGCCCGGCCCCCGGGACCCAGTGCCTGGTGTCGGGCTGGGGCAGCACCAGCAGCTCCCAGCGTGAGTCCCGGCCCCTCCCGGCCCCAGCTGCCCTGCCTGCCCCTCCCCGCCGACCGCCCCTCTCCGTGTTGCCGCCGCAGACACCTTCCCCAAGACGCTCCAGTGCCTGAACGTCAACGTGCTGAGCCAGGAGAAGTGCAAGGACGCCTACCCGGGACAGGTGGATGACACCATGTTCTGCGCCGGGGACGAGGATGGCAGAGACTCCTGCCAGGTGAGGACCCGACACTGTGCTTAGGCTCCAGGAACCCAGTGATGGCCTAGTTAGGGCCCCGGATGTCACAGAGCTCGGACTCTGGGGCGGCAGTGTCTGCAGAAATACCAAGTGAGCGGGCACACAGCATATACGTTTTCTAACAGCCACATTTTTAAAAGTTAAAAAAAAAAAAAGCCAGGCATGGTGACAGATGCCTGTAAATCCGAGCTACTTGGGAGGCTGAGGCAGGAGCATCCAAAACTCAAGGCCAGTGTAGCAAGACTCTGTCTCAAAATAAAAATTAAAAAGAGATAGGGGGTAGGGGTGTAGCTCCGTGGTAGAGCATCCCTCCAGTACCGCAAAAGTAATACTGTTAAAATAAAGCAGGTGAAATTCACGTCGATACTTTAATTCAGAATTTTCTAAAACATTCATCTCAAAATGCAGTTGATCTAAAACAATTACAAAGGAGGTGGTTCACACTCGGATTTTTCCACGCCGTCCTTGAAGGCCAGGGTGTATTTTCACTCTCCACACATCTTGCTCTGGCAGCCAGGTTGCAGGGGTTCATTAGCTCACTGTTCTGGACAGCGCCTGTCTACAAGCAGAGGACAAGGCCGTTGTGTGTGGTAGGGCAGGTTGTACACTGTGTTAAGAGACCACATGCGAGGGGTTTGCTTTCACATAATTGTCACAGTTTCATCTGTTCATTCTGGTAGTTCTCAGGTACGAGGCAGTTGTGTCTTTTCCAACAGGATCTGTATGATACATTTTCCCAACAAACGCTAGGGAAGTCCTGAGGAAGGGAAACAGAAAACCTGCGCTAGGGACTCGATGAAGAGAATATCTGGTACAAGGGATGGGAGTTAGGAAAGCAAAAGAAACCCAACTTATGGTCAAGAAACTCTCCAGAGAGTAGTAAGGAAACCAGAAAATAAAACATGGCTTCAATATAGCACAAAATGAAGCAGTATTCAAAGGTAGGGGAAGCGGCAGTGAGCCGGGATCGAAACATTCCAAGGGGCCAGATCTGGGAAGGTGAAAGAGACTGGAAAAAACATGTGCAAAGGCCCTGAGACAGGCAGGGGTTTAGCTGATTCAAGGAGCAGAAGAAACCGGCATTTCTGAGCAATGGGATAGTGGGGAGAAATAAGAGTTCAGGCTGAAGAGCTGGGTGGCAGGCAATGTTCCAAAAATACTTCCTGATCACTAAAGCAAAGCATCTCTGTGTTCTCATGGAAGCTGTCTTGATTCAGAAGCTAAAACTGTTATTTTATATTATTATTGGAGTTTCTGAGACAGGGTCTCACTGTGTAGCCCAGGCTGGCCTCAAACCCACAGTCCTCCTACCTCAGCCTCCTGAGTGCTGGGATCACAGGTGTGCACCACCTGGCCTGGCCAAAAATTCAAATGAAACAACCCGATCCCTCTGTGGTCGAGGTGAGGGTCTTGCCTTCCTGGACCTAAAGGTGCTCCTTCCTAGCAGCGTGTGGCTGGGGTAAGACTGAATAAAAGGGCAGGTAACCATAGCAGGGACTCCTCACTGGACGCAAACACATGACACGCACCCATGCCTTAACTCGTTTACTGTTGTTAGCCTTGCTTTACTCCAAGGCTCAGGGAGGTTCACTAACGGCCTCTCATAAAAGCTCTGCAGTAACTGTACAGAGATGAAGGAGAAAGTCCCACACTCCTAGAAATCCAGCTACCCGGAGTCAGGAAGATTAAAAGTTAGAGCCCGGCCTGAGCAACTTAGCAAGACCCTGTCTCAACATAAAAAATAAAAGGTCTGGGGATGGAGCTCAACAGGAAAGCCCTGAGTTTTCAACCCCCAGTGCCGCGTCGGGAAGGAAGGGTGAGGAAGGAAAGCAGGGAATGTGGGACCAGGAGGCTTCTGCTAAGAGGCCTCTGCAGATGGGGAAGCAGCCGGGCCTCTGCTCCAGGGCAGACTTTCGGGGGCACAGGTTAGAGAAGGGCAGTCACAGGAGATGTGGCATCAGGGGAAGGGAGCGGTGCCCGGCGGGCGGTGCTGTCCCCGTGGGCAGAGGCCTAAGGACAGCTGGTGTCACAGGAGCCGAGCCCAGGGCCCCTGCTGATGCCCACAGTGTGCAGGGCGGCCGCATGGTCCTGGCATCCAGACCAGAGCCAGGCTGCTCCGTGACGTTAGCTGAGGGTAAGGGTGTGCACCTATGACCCAGCAATCTGGGAGGCTGAGGCAGGAGGATTGCAGGTTCCAGCCCCGCCTGTGGTGATTTAGTGACTCAGCAAGCCCTGGCCTCAAAGTATAAGAAAACATTGGAAAAGAGCTGGGGTTGTTGTAGTTCAGTGCAGAGGGGTTCAATCTTCAGCACAATAAAATAAAATAAAATAAAATAAAATAAAATAAAATAAAAGGGATGATTTTGTGTCCAGGATGGGGAACAGAGAGCCAGCGAAGATGGAGTGGGGAAGAAGCATAAACAAACCACACAAGGGCAGAGGGGAGAGCCAGAGAACAGGGGCGCTGGGACGGGATTCCTGGCATCCCGGAGGAGGGCCGGGTGGGGAGCGGACAGCGGGGCGCTGGGCACTGGGCCGAGGGTGGAACATGACAGCGCTGCCCCTCCCTGCGTGTCTGTCTCGCGGCCTCTCTGTGCGGCCCCCTCTCCTCCACAGGGTGACTCCGGGGGCCCCGTCGTGTGCAACAGCTACCTGCAGGGCCTGGTGTCCTGGGGTGACTTCCCCTGCGCCCAGCCCAACAGGCCGGGCGTCTACACCAACCTCTGCCTCTTCAACAAGTGGATCCACAACACCATCAAGAACAACTGAGTCCCCACTGCCACAGGTCCAGCTCGCCTTCCCCAGGACGCCAGGATCCCGAGTCCCCATCAGGACGCCCTGCCGCTCTCCTGGAGCCTAGGGACCATTCCCAGAATGATGCGCGCAGGGTTACACCTCCGACCTCCGCCCGGAGAGCCAAACTCAGTCCCTGAAATAAAACCCCTAAGAACCGGCCTCTGAGCGTGTCCTCGGCGACGTGCTGGCGTCTGCTCCTGACCAGGGGCACCCAAGCCACTCTGCATTTTCGTCACAAATCCTGACCCGTGCCGGGTGTGGCTCCGGAAGCAGCGGTGGGTGAAACAGAGAAGCTCCTGCCAAAGAGCTCAGGGTCGGGTGCTGGAGACAGAGGCCCAGACGCAGATAAATCCGAGCATGTGCCGTCATTACTCACAACCCCAGGCAGAGATGTGAGGCCCACAGCCCACTCAGCCCCCGGCCCAGGGAAGTGCTATGGGTCTGCGGCTGCAGGGCTGAGCTAGGACCCCAGGTAGGGGAGGAAATCAGGCCCTTTCTTATTTACAACATTTTCAGCAGGCAGTGAGCTCACCGGGCCTGAGCCCATTGTAAGCTGAGAGGCATCTGTTTAGCCAAGGGGTGGGGGACTAAGTGGGGATCTGAGGAGGGGAGAGAGACAGTCTGGGGTGGACCAGGTCAATCCCGAGGTCCTCACAAGTGCACGGCAGGAGGGTGGTATGAGAGACGCTGAGGCACACCGCGCTGCTCAGTCAGAGGCTGGACGGGGGAGCCCTGAGCCCGGGAATGTGGGCCTTCTAGAAGCTTCTAGAAGGGCCTGGGACAAGATTTCCCCAGAAGGAACCGGATCTTGGACGAGATCTGCACCACCCCAGCCTTGGTTTCTGCACAGTGAGGCCGCTCTGACTTCTGACTCCAGGACACAATCCAGCTGTGCTGTTTTAGGCCCCTCAAATCTACACTGGTTCGTTCCAGCAGCCCCAGGGAATGAACACACAGGTCCTCTCGGAGAGGGTGGTGTTTCTGCAGAGGCCTGCAGGACAGAGGGCAGGCACCTCCTGTGAGGCAGGGGCAGCCTCCGGGGCCCCTCACCTCATCCTGTCACTCACATGGCTGCCAGAGGAGCAGCCCGCCTCCCTCTCTAACAGCTCCAGTTACTGGCTTTCCTCAGCTCACCAGAGAGGAGGTGTGATTGGCTGTCCTTGGGTTACACGCTGAGTCTGGGTCCAATCAGTTATGACCTAGAAAGGTGGGGCCACCTCGTGGATCCCTCATCAACAGCACGGGGCAGGGCAGGCCACGAAAGGGGCTCCCGGTGGAGACAAATGTTTGAGGCTTCTGCGCTTTCTGAGTGGCCCCTGTAACATCTCGTACTCCTTCTGGACCTCAGTTTCTCCATCCACAAAATGGGAGGGTTGGAATGGAACAGTCTCCACGTGCCCACCCAGCTCTGAGATTCCAGTGTACACAGGGCCGCAAGTAGAAAGTCACTCACTTCAAGGCAATACTGGAGACCGAATGCCCCAGAAGAGGAGTTATGTTAGAGAAGCCATCAATGACAACTCACCTGACTAAACTGGATTAAATATGAGATTTATTAACCCATACGACAAGAAGCCCCAAAACAGCAGTGATGTGATTAGTGTGGGTCATAAACGATGACCTTTTGCTCCCTTTGCATCCATCCGTTCATCCATTTACTCAACTACGAGCATAAACACCTGGAGTAGAGACTGTAGCACAACAAGCCACAGTCTCTGCCTTTCTTGGGTTTATATTTCAGCTGGGGGGGAAAAACATGTCAGATTTCTCCTTCAGACTTGTAATCTCATCTCTGTGAAGTGGCTGCCATGGCTCCAGGCATCACATCCTCACTCACCATGCCAGAGACAGAAAGGAGAGATGCTGGTGGCAGGGTTCTTTTCTTTAGGACAAAAAAAAAAAGTCTCTCTTAGAAGGATCCTCCCTCAACTTATCCTTAGGTCTCACTGCCTGAGCTCTAGCTTCAAAAGAAGCTAAAAAATGAATTTCCAGTACTTCTCTAACAAGAGAAATGAAGGACACAGACAGGCACAGCGGCGTGTACCTGCAGCCCCGGCTACTACGGAGGTCAAGGCAAGAGGATCGCTTGCACCTAGGAGTTCAAGGCCGATCTAGACAACATACTGAGACCCCCATTTCTAAAGGGAGGGAGGGAAAAGAGGAAGGAAATGGCTGTTAGGTAGACAGTCCATGGTGTGAAAGGAAAAACATTCATAAAAACAACCTAACAATAACTGTCTCGGATACCTTTGCCCTGGTTCCCTGCCGTCCGCAGTCTCGGGAGACACAAGGACAGCGCCCCAGTCAAGGAGCTGCCTCTTGATCTCGCTGTCACCAGCCTGGCCATTACTTCCCAGGCGGCACACCTGCTCCGACGCAGTCTGCTGCCGAGAGCAACAGCGAGGTAAGTGCAGGATGCGAAAAGGGGTCAAATCGCCCTGGCCCGGCTCCGGGTGACACGGGTAATTCCAAGTTGGAAGAGGAGGAGGGGGAATGGGAGGAGGAGGGAAGTAAGAGCAGAACCCTTGCTAAGAGGCAGCTTTCAGCACGTTTCCCAAAATGCTGCATTGTTTCCAATAATAAGTAAAGTTTTACCTCACAGCCCAAGAAATCCAGCTGAGGGCAGCTTTCCGCAGAGGGTAATGGGACACCAGTTCCATTTCCGGCCGCTCCTCTCGGTTCTTCTCTGTGCGGTCTTGAAGACCAGTGGCTTTCGTGGGCCTGAGGAGGAGGACACGTTTCAAGAACCACCCCAGAAGAATTTTCTCCATTCTCATTGGTCAGAATTGAGTCACATGCCCTTCACTAAACCAATCGCACGCTGAGGGATGGACTAAACATGGTGGATTTGAGCCAATCAGGATTTACCTTCTCAGCTGACAACAGAATCTCTCCTAAAACAGAGAAGGCTGTGTAAATAAAATGGGGACTCTCTTACCGCCAAAGGCGAACAAGGGGGATGCTGGGTAAACCATCAGCAGTTCTGCCACAGACTCCTTTTCAGCACTATTTGCAATTAGCTTTTTTACTGAAGGATATAGAAATCGTGTGCATATAAGCATCATAAACTCCAGTGGATTTTGGCAAAACAGAACACACCCTGGTACCGGCATAAAGATGGAGCAACAGAACGTAACCAGCTCCTAGGAAACCCGGTGGGTTCCCCTCCCCTAGATAGAGTGGCTTTCATGACTTCTATCACCATACCTTAGTTTTGCCCTTTTGCAAACTATGTGAATTGATTTCCATATGATAGAAATATAACAAACTGTTTGGTTTTTTTTAAATATAATAAGCTTATGTAAGTGAAATCACAGTGTATCATCATGTGTGTGGCTTCTTTTGCTCAGTATTACATTTGCGTAGCTCATGCAGACTTTTGTCTGCGGTTGGAAGTATCTTATCCCATCTTATTCCCACTGCTTCTCGGTTCACTGTTGTGTAAGCGCGCTCCACCTCACGGGTCCGTCTTTACTACGGGCAGCCATTTGGCGGCTCCTAGGTTTTTCAACAGCTGTGAAAGAAACAGGAGGAAGAGCTCGGGAGAAGCAGTGCGCCTGACTCCGCGCCCGCCCCAGGTGCTGCCCCCGCGCTGCTCCTTGCTGATGGCCCAGCCTGGGCCAGTTCCACCTTAGGGTCGGGCTCCAGGGCGAGCAAGAGATGGGACCGTGGGCCAAGAGGGAGAGGGGCGGGTCTGGTGACCTGCCTGACTCTGGGCCAGGCGGGCTGGGTGTGACTGAGACGTGCTTTATCACCCTTGCCACTGCCCGGCCGAGACCAGCGACTGCCCACGCGTGTGACCTGGATCCTCCGGGTGGCCCGACGCCCGTGTGAGCCGACATCAGTTGCCTGCGGTTTCCTGGGAGATGTGCGCTTGGCTGGGAGTCGGGGACCCAGCAGCTGGGTCTCTCTCGATGCCCCTGAGCGTCTGGTCTTGGATCTGGGAGAATAAACTCTGAAGCGGCCGCTGCTGGGGTTGGCTTTCTGTAGGCTGCTGCACAGAAAAGAAGTTTCTGGAAACTGAAATCTGAGCTAAGACATTGCACGTTTTCCTGAGCAGCCTTGACTTTCTCTTCCTGGGTGAGGATGTACCTTTACTAATACAGGAGCTGTTCCAGAGCTAGGAGCGGGCAGGCAGGTGTGTAAATGACTCTCGTCCAGGGTGGAGAACATCCGGGCATTTCCCGCGCGGTGATGTAATCCCTGTGATGATGCAAGAAATAAGCTTCTTGTCCTACTAGATTTTAAGACATTCTGCAAAGCAAAATTAATGTGTAAAGCAAAGGGTGGGATCGGTGCAAGAACAGACAAGAGCACAATCTCGGACGCAGACTCCAGGGAAGTGGACAGACCATCCAGGGAGTAAACACGCGATAAGACAGCTGCCCACGCGAACGGGGGACAAGGCGGGGCCTCATAGATGGCGCTGGGGAAACTGGCTCGCTGTGCACCTGCGGACAAGTCTAGATTCCCACCTGTGCCACACGCGAAGGCGGCCGCAGCTGCACTGAAGACCCCTGAGGGCAGCGGAGACTGAGAGATTGAGGAGAAAAAAATAATTCCAAACACCTTCAGGTCCCTGAGGTAGGGACGAATCCCAAAGCTTCAAAAGCATAAATCGTAAGACAAAATATCGGTTAGTCTGATTTATTAAAATGAAGAGTTTTAAAGAAGGGTGAAACGAATCGTCAATGTGCATTTTTCAGAATGGAAGGAGTTATTGCGAATGCTCAAAAGACAGAAAGGGGCCAGCATTTACACACGCAAGGAGCGTGGCATCTGCAAATCAGTAAGAACAAAGAGGGAACCCGGGTAGAGGATAAAAGCAGTCACTGTGCCTGTCCCACGATGAAAAATAGAAAAGGGCTGAGGACGGAGCTCAGCAGGAAGGCCCTGGGTTCCACCCCATGTACCGAGGAAGAAGGAAAGAGAGAGGAAAAAGGAAAGCGGGCAGGGGGGTCGGAGGGGACGGAAAGGGAAGGTGGGGAAGGGAAGGGAAAGACGGAGACGCTTTGTGGTAGCGAAACTGCAGCGGCTGCCACCGTCTGTGGAGCACAAATCGAAGCAACAGCGAGCTGTGGCCTCACAGTGACTGGGAAGGAGAGGGACGGGCCAGGCCTGCTGTTCTCAAGCCGAGCACCGCTCTGCGCCTCA